GATTTCCTTGATAGAGGATTGCTGCTCACAAGGAAGCTATTAAACCAAGAGTTCCAAATGGTGAAGTTGAAATCATCCCTTCGTAAATTTTACGGACGCCATCACGAGTTGATTGACCGTTATGGAATAACCGTTTCACAGATGATATCGGATATGTTCATTATGCCGTAACTACAATACCCTCCCTTTTCACGAATGTGACTTACCAAATTAGACTATTTACCGTATTTGTTATAACATAAGCAACACGACGGGTGCCACATGTGGAGCAGGATCTGCTTACCCTTCCGGAGCACCTGAGATCACCCCAAGTTTTTGGTGGGGTTCGTGTTGCTCAGTCTTTGGTTTTCTATGTTGTGTCATCTGTACTATTATTTGTCTGTTTGTCTTTTTAATTTTGGCCATGGCGTTGTCAGTTTGTTTTCGATCTATGAGTTTGACTGTCCCTCTGGTATCTTTCGTCCCTCCTTTTTACATAACATATAAGTTCCAAACAAATCCCAAGTGCTTTTAAGGATCTATGCTTTAATTTCCAAAAAAGGTGGTTGCGTATTTAATTTTGTATGCATTTAAGTGAATATGATTTATTGAGTTTTGTATGCATTATTTTAACACGTCGTTGTTTAAAAAGTAAAATCACAAAAATACTGAACTCCGAGGAAAATTCAATCGGAAAGTCCCTAATCACATGGCAAAATCAAATGACAAAACACATCAAACGAATGGACAACAACTGTCATATTCCTGACTTGGTACAGGCATTTTCAAAAGTAAAAAATGGTGGATTGAACCTGGTTTTATAGCGCTAAACCTCTCACTTGTACGAGCTCTTGAATGTTTCAAAATCATTATTAAAATGTATATGTCTTGAGAATTAATTAGCGATCTAAGCAAATTAAAGTTGTATAATTGCGAACAACTTAACCTAACTGTCAATTACTTCATTTATATAATTTAAAGACTAATATGTCAGAAATAGTGGAGGACCTAAAATGGTCACTTGTGGTACTCCATCTGAAATGAATGAGTTTTGATGAATTGAAAGTGCTATATATTATCAAAACATAATTCCCTCGCATATCAAGGTGTTATTTCGGGAATAAAATTATTTAAGGGAACATACTATTTGTTAAAATAAAACAAATGGTCCAGGTTTCCTTCAGGTATCCCCCAAACGATATGTATAAGGCTTAAGGTAGTAAAACAAAATCAAATTTTAACCAAAATTTTGAATAAAAATTATTCATCAGTCTACATTCAAAAGTTTGTAACAATAATTTTCATTGGACGTTGAAAAATCTTTTCAAGGGTTAGATTCCACGTTCTACCAGTCTGTAACTAAGATAAGTTACCATTTTGAATTCCGATTTATTCATTTTTTTAATATGTAATTTCTGAAAATTAAACAAAATGTAACATTTTGTGCCTAAAAATCTTCTTTTTGTCAATATTTAAACCATTCAGAAGCGTACAAAAAGTATAAAAACGTCGGGACATCGGGAGTATACATATGACGTCATATTGTTTAGATGCCAAAGACGATGTAACAGTTACACGGACTTTTCCACTCATGGCATTTTTAAGCCAAAATATTTACTAAAATGGAATTTATCTTAACTTAAACACGTGGCATTAGAATGAAGATTTTACGAAGGCCAAGCTTAAAATACAATACAGTTAGCAAAAAAAAAAACCCAAAAGAAACACAGCATGTGAAAAAACATATTTTACCTCAAGTTACCAACATAAGAAATAAGCATCACATTACACTGAAATTAGGCTCACTGGTTGTGCAGACTTAAAAGTGCATTAAAATGTCATAAAGTATCACATTTAAGTCCATAGCGTTCAGATGACGTCACTTCAAAGAGAATATCGACTTCGCACGCGTGTAACCAAATCATTCCATTAATGTCAACTTAGGTTCAAATCCAGTGATTTGAACGAGCAGTGGAGCACTGTTACGTTCTGGTTGGCTAGAAAGTTAATAATAGCACGAGATGTGTGCATCATCCTGAAAAAGTTCCTTACCTAAGTTCATGACGGGCAGCATGTGTGGTGTCAAAACCTTATGTCTGTATCAAGCGGCGTTAAGGTTGCCACCATGTGGCAAGGGATGTGCACCAGTTGAGTTTGTCAGGCGTAAGGGATGGCACCCAACATCATCACGTTTCCTCCACCAAAATTGTAGATCTCAATGACTCAGTTCCTTTTGCGAATCTCTCATTCTGGCGATTGTATCGAGTTATTGGGTCATCTCTTCTCTTCAGCATGAGTCTTGATTTATCGCTGAACCTGACCTGAGTTTTGCAGGTCCCAGACCCTTATTATTTTGCACGACCATACACTTGTAAGTCGATGCCGTCTTCTCAATACTGCGTCAAAGTAAGGACATCTTTCGAGTTAGAAAATTTCACAGTGATGGTTTCTAACTATCTGCAAATTTTCGTCGTAAACCTAGAAATTTGATGCAGTTTTACTGCTGTCGCGGTCCGGTTTTTCATATGAAGTACTTGGATGTAGCGATCTTGGGCTACTGATGTGATCCTAGGTCGGCCAGAACGTTGACGGTCACCTGTTGAACCAGATTGCTGGTACCGTTGAAAGAGTCTGGAAATCATCCTCCGTTGAACAATATAAAGTCTAGAGACTTCATTATGTAATTCAAAGGGTAGCTGTTACTAGTCTTGGCATATTGCAGCTGGTTCAAGTAACAGTTTAATGACTGATACAGTAAGCTGTCTTTTATGCCCATTATAGATAAGGCACGATTAGCATGTGCAACTGCCCTAATTATTCCCGTATGCGTTTCTCTTGCAGCGTTACAAATGCTGACAAGACAAGGTCACATGTGATCAACAGCCACTCCCAGTAGTTAAAATTCAATTGTTTCATAATAACAATTCACATTGAACATCTCCGAAAGGTGATATCTCATGGTCCTAAGTTGAGAGAACACATGAACTGGAACCATAACTTAAAAATAAGTATGGATTCCATTGAGGACTACGCCAGAACATGGTCTAAACGAGAAGAAGTTGAACTTGGCACTTTTTCATAATGGGTTAAATCAATCAGGTCTCTGATAAAACGTCGAATCAAAAGTTAAGAATAGATAAGCACTCAGGTAATCCCACATACAAAAACAATTATTGATAAGGATAAGATTTTGGCGAATCATAAGTCCTTCATGGGTTCAATACACAGTACATTGAACAGCAAATCTGAGGACCTACCTTGTATATATAAGATACCTAAGATTAAGACAATTCTGTAAAACCAATATAAAATGCCGGCTCATCTGCATGTTTTACAAAGGAATTGTCCATTAGATTGGCAAAAAATCTATCCACAGTGAAAGAAGGTCTTCAGAAATACTGTGAAACTGTTTATTCGCGTAGTGATATTAACCATATGTGGATTCTAAAAGACTCTAGAGAACTTCTGTATAGCTGTCCATCTCTTTGTTTAAGATTAATTCTATCAAAATGTTTGACTTTTCAACCCTTTATACCACCATTCCCCATGTGATATTGAAAAATCGTCTCAAAGAAATAAACTTCAATATAACAAGGGTTGCTTACACTATAAATTTATTGCTTTCCGATAACATACAGCATATTTTGTTAAAGTGAACAGAGAGTTAAAAAATTAAAACATGCTACAAGTGCTACATATGTGGATCACTTAGTCCTGCATTAACAAAACACTATATAGAATAAACCTGTAATTGGAGGAAAATATAAATATGCGTATAATTAATACATAGCAAGACTTTGAAAGTCGTAATAAAAATTTTATAAATAATAAGGCTTATAGGCATGGATACCAAAGATACAGTTATGTCTGTTTCATATCTTGACTTACATCTACAAATAGACAATGAGGGTCGTTTGAAAATAGAAATTATGACAAAAGGCATGATTTCAGCTTTCCAACTGTGAACTTTTCATTTCTATGTAGCAGCATCCCAACAACGGCTACAAATGGAGTATATATATTCCAGTTTATACGATATTTCAGAGCCTGTATTTCCTATCATGATTACCTTGTTAGTGGGTTGTTGCGTACAAGTATGCTCTTATCCCCAGGGTTCCAAGTGGTAATTTTGAAGGCATCACTTCGAACATTTTACGGACGCCATTAGGAGTTGAATAACCGTGACGGAATATCTGTTTCACAGATGACGATTTATCGTTCCCACAATCCCGTGCTTGTTTCCTCGAATCGAATGTCGCATCACCTTAATGAGACTGATAACTTAATTTGTACTTACATAAGCAACACGACGGGCGCCATATGTTGAATCTGCTCACACTTCAGAAGTACCTGAGATCATCCTGGTTTTTTAATTAGGGTTTGTGTTACTCAGTCTTATTTCTAATGTTGTATTTTGTAGACTATTGTTTCGTTTTTATCCATGGCGTGTTAAGTTTACCTTCGATAGTTAAGATATCCATTTGGTATTTTTTCTCTCTTTTTTAAATTGTTTCCGGCAGTAAAACCCTTGGGAAATTGAATGTACATGTCCGTTTGGTTGTGCGAGATGTTTTCGAAGCCACGTCCGGTTAGAATGGGGACGTTACATCCGATGCCCCCTGTTGGGAGAGTGCCAAGCTCTCTGCACGTTTAAGATCCCTTGAATCATCTCTTCGAGGGGTCTTTAAGGGGCATGTTGCAAGGGGAAATTTCTGCCTCTATCAAACAAATCATTGTTTTACAGTGGCAGTCTAAAATCTCCGCCCTTCATCACGGTCGACCCATATTACAGGACCTACCTGTTGTATTTATTGTGAATTGTTCTCGTTCCGAGCATGAATGCAATATTTGCCACTGGACGTTAAGAAAACAACAATCAATCAATCATTTAAAGAAAAGCAAGGAGTGGTTCTACACTGTCCACAAATAAATATAACCACTTTTTTTAAACATAGCAGTTTACCATCTGATTTTTAAATTCATTAAATATTATGTACATGTATTAAATGTTTATCTTTCAGGTAACGTGCTCTGGTCAGGAACGTATGTTCATAATGAATACCTATATGAACAGCTTGTTCACATAGTCGGAATAGAAAGAGACATACGTCATAGACAACGGTTATTTCTGATTCATGATATAACAGCAAATATAATTGGTCGTCCTGATTTACAACTGATATCAAGTGGAAGTATATCTGAAGGACTTGATTTACCCGGCAGTGACCTTGATATGATGTTGGTTGTTAGTAAGGTGGAAGTGGTTAATACGACAGAGAATATGAAATATTCACAGAAATATACAACTCTGATGATGGAAACAGACCCCTTGTATCCAGGGTTTACAAGACTGAAGTTAGTTGCTGAAGACTATAATTCTTCACATCGTTTAATCAAAGATTCTCTAATACAAACCAACAAAAAAGATTTTTATGTAGCACCCTTTAAATTTCTTCGAAAAATTAAACAGATAACTTCATCAGTTAAAACGTCCTTACATGGTCCCTGTTTATCGGATATAGATGAATATATGGATGTTGCATATTGTCTCCGTTGTAAATCATTCCCATACAATGCAAGCAATTGGGTTAATCGTCATAGGAAACATTGGCCACCTAATAAAGTAATTGGTACCATTGTGAAGAACGGATGTTTGTTGGTATCTATTGGACCTAAATCAATGACAAACAATAATTTGTTGTGGAGGCTATCCTTTTCTGTGGCAGAAAAACAACTGGTTCATTCGTTCAACTATACGCAATTATTATGTTACGGCCTTCTTAAATTAACATTGAAACACATCATAAACGAAAAACATGATGTAAAGGATTTGTTATGTTCTTACTTCCTTAAAACAACGCTATTCTGGTTATCAGAGAAAGTATCTATCGAGACATTTCAGTTAGGTAACCTATTTTACTGTTTTTTCTTGTGTTTAGATCAATTAAGATCGTTTATTAGCAATTGCTATTGTCCTAATTACTTTATACCTGAACAAAATATGTTTCAAGGAAAGGTCAATAAGAGAAATAATAAGAGATTGCTATGTGCCCTTGACAGTATTGAATGTGGCGGAACAGCCGGACTGATATCTTATTTATTTTCCGAAGGTGCTAGTTTAAAATGCCTAGCATCAACTATTAAATGCAAATCCTACATTCAGTTAGACATTTTGTTTTATAGACATATTTCCGAAATTTCACCTGAATCGAATATAGATAACTATTACAGAGGAATTATTATTGCTAAATCTTTCCTTCGGAATGAATCGTCGATCTTTGTACGGGATGTATGTAAATGTTGGATTGCCAGACTCAATCAGTATTTGGTGCAACTACTTCCGCGTCCATTTTCAGTACAGAATGTCAAAAATAAACAAAATCGTTATCATAAACATTTACAAAAAGGTTTACAAGCAGATGCTGTGACTGGTTGGCTGTTGTACGCGTCGTTTTATTACGTAATTGGACAGTACAAAGTTACACTCCTAATAACAGACTATTTTTTATCAAAGTGTACACAAGATAAGATATATTTAGGCTGTTTTAATTTTCTTCAAGAAATAATAGATAACTATGCTAAGAATATCTGTACAAAAAACATAACACTTAACGAAAAGACGAAATTAGCGACCATAACTAGTGTTGTATACTTGAGACGTTCTTCTTTAATACCTGAGGAGCTAAGATTGGAGGTGGAAAATGATCATTTTTCTATACCTCCTGTTGTTTTATCTCATTGTCTTAGATTTCTGTGTAACCATCATCTCGGAGAAACCTTTAAAACAATACAAGCATTGCGGGATTTGACTTTTACTATTAGAGAAAGCAATTTTGTTTCTATCAGCCTAATATCTGAATCATTCACAATTCTCGGTGTGTGCTGTGAGTTATCTGGTGATATAGATTCAGCTTGTGTGTGCTACGATACAGTTTTACACATTCATGTAGGGACTAATTGTACAGCAGAAATTAGGAAAAAAGAACTCCTGAAAAGACGAAATGTTAGACTCTTAAAATAGTCGTTCTGGTAACGGATGATTTCTTTTCTGCACATCTAAAATGTATTTTATTTTCTGCACTTCTAAAACAATTTTATATATTGTTTATTTTTCAACCTGTATTTGATAAGGCACTACTAAATTGTAACATATGTATACTTTCCTGATCGTTTTGACTAGAAGTGTAGTGTACTAAAGTAATTTTTATCTTATCCCACCATTTACGGTAGACAAATATGAGGAAAAACTATACAGTGCAAACTGGAACATCGAAGTTTAGATATGATCCGTATTTTGATGTTATTACAAAGGACCTCAACATCGTTCATGACCGAGAAGCTAAATCTTTCCCAAGAAAAAGCAAAACAAAAAAAATCCTCCTCCATCGAAAACAAATTGCCAAAATTGTCGTCAGGTCATTACAGATACTCTCACTCTATTGTTAACATTGGTGTAGAAAGGAAAATCAAATACAAAAATCACTTGATTCTTTTTTGTTTAAATGCATAGTTAATGTTGATATATGCATATTAGATTTTGAAAGTAATTTAGAAATTAGTAAGGGGATGAATAAGGTTCAACAGAAGAAATTGACAAATATGGCCGTGTTTACACCATAAATATAACTATCAGTGAACAACGGGGAAACGTCTTAATGCATGGGGGAAACTTGATAATTAAATTTTAAATGTATGTTATGTTGCAGAAAGTTAAAACTTTCCTGGATTTTAGATTCCTTTTTTTGTTCCCACATAAGATGCCAAAATACACTCAATTAGAAAAATGTTTGAGATGTTCCCCTCTTGTGAAGTGAACTGTATTGATTGGCATGGGCAATAGAGAAACAATAGATATTTGAACATGGTAGGTGATTTAAACTGTGCAAATGAGTGGACCGTATCAAATGCAAATCAAGTGATTATTTATTTTGACAGCTGACGTGTATGTAAACAAATGAAGGTTACGTACGACCATCAGCAATAAGCAAAGCCCATCTTATGTTGTAAGCTCTTAATGGCCATAGCATGACAAAATATATAACAATATAAAAGAGAAAATCAACGATCTGATATATGATAAAATAATGAATATACAAATAGGACAGAAATCAACTAGCGAAAACCACTGAAACGCAGGATCCTGACTTGGAACAGGCAATACAATTGCAAATTTTGGAAGGGGGTTAAACATATTTGCGAGCGCTTAGCCCTCCTCTTAACACAAAACAGTGGTGTAAAAGCACAACATAAGAACAATCTGCAAAAATCAGTGGTAAAGGGCTTGACTCATTACATCTGACACGAAACACAATACTAATAAAAAAGACAAAAAAAAACCAAAAAAAACAACACAACAAAATGAGTATTCCGAGTCACTGAAAGCTATTTCAAAGTCAATTACAACTAATGAATAAATCATGTTTTCCCACACTAAAATGGCAACCAATACAAATTCAACGTATTAAGTGTAAAGATATTATCAACAGTCTGAGGAAAGCATTAGTCTGCTCATTGTTAAAGAATAAGTATCGACAGGATGTAAGATCATAACTGTACATATCTTTAAAGTAATACATATTTGGTAATGTTCAAATTTAGTTATAAAACAGTCAATGCTGGTACCAATGAACACAATATTGTGTTTAACTGATAACCTTAAAGAATAAGGTTATACAAAGGCTTGAACAGATTTTGTGGATCGTGTCTACAGTTACCGGCTTTATTAAAAACATCGTTGTAAAAGAGGGACGAAAGATACCAAAGGGACATTTGGATTGAAAAATAAGGATGTGATTACCCGCTTGTAATAAAAATTAAGCCAAGCTTCCAAACCAAATATTTGTATTTATGAAAGAAGTAGGTAACGGTTTTCAGAATTTCGTGGTAAAGAAATCCCTGGCCAAATACCAGTAATACATAGACTACGTTCATTGAAATCTAAAAGTTCTTTAGCGAGTTGGGAAATATACACACCGTAAGAAGGAGTCAAAGGAACATCACCGTCCAAAAAAGGAAAATTAACAATAGGGAACCAAAAATTGTCTTTTTTGTCGTAAATTTATTTTAACAGTTTCCCGTTGGACACAGAAAGTCCAATTGGGTAAATTTCCTTTATACAATAATATAATTTGTGAATATTTAAAGCTTAAGTATCATCAAGTGCACGGTAAATGTTGTTACATTTATCAATTAAATAGAATTTGGCTATAACCTGTGTTTCATAACAACTCTGTAACATGTCTTCTCTTAAAGTAGGGGCTCGGAAGGATGTTTGACAAAATTGCAGTATACTTAAACTATACATTATTTAAGAAAATTAATTTAAGCGAAACTGAAAAAAAAAGAATTCTGGCGAGGAAAAATATGTTTGGGTGGTTAAGGATGAGTTATTGATCTGTTGAAATAAAATGTTTAATTGCCACTTTTAGCATGACTAAATTGCAGCATTATCATACATACATCAGATTTTACATGGCAAATATCCTTTGAACATTAATTTTAAGTCATATCAGTCTTAAACAACATATATTTCCCGTGCCTAAGGCAGATATGAAGATTTGTTCACCCATGAAAATTCATATTTCACTAGGGCTTTACAAATCTTCATATTTCCCAAGGCCTAGGGAAATGAATGTTCTATTCCACTGCCTATACTTTGTTTACTACCTGAACATAAAATATTCATTTACATACATTTTTTTTTCTTATCCTCGTGTTTTTATATCTAAACACTGAAAAAACATTGATAACCAATACCGATCAAAAGTTAATTATTAGTCTTTGTGTTTCAATGTCTGAAATAATTTTGAACACAATAATGACTTTACTATCGCTATTTTAAAGAAACGTTCAAAACGTTATGTACATTAACCGCGCGTATCGTACGCGGAAGCCCTTCAGGGGGAGTATGGTGCTCAGATGGGAATTTGAAGTTTTTTCAATGTCACGTGGTATTGTCTCAACCAATCAAATATTGATAAAGCAATATGTACATTGTTTCAAGAAGGATTAAGGTTAGCGCCTATAAAAACTTTTAAACCCGCTGCATTTGTTTGCACCTGTCCTAAGTCAGGAATCTGATGTTCAGTGGTTGTCGTTTGTTGATGTGGTTCATAAGTGTTTCTCGTTTCTTTATATAGATTAGACCGTTGGCTTCCCTGTTTGAATGGTTTAACACTAGTCATTTTTGGGGCCCTTTATAGCTTGCTGTTCGGTGTGAGCAAAGGCTCCGTGTTGAAGGCCGTACTTTGACCTATAATGGTTTACTTTTGCAAATTGTGACTTTGATGGAGAGTTGTCTCATTGGCACTCATACCACATCTTCTTATATCTATTCAGTGGAATAATATACTACATCATTAGTGAAAAGTGAAAAATCATGGCCTCTGATGATGACTGACAGCTTTATTTTCATGGAAGTTATTTGGCTAACCATTGCTTATTTCGACTTGCCTGTTTAAAAGCATAAAACGAATCTATAAGTGGAATTTTTACTTATATCGTTTTAACTTTTCAATATAAAAATACTTTATTTCAATGTTACGTGTAATTTTTCATATCTAAACTATAAATGATCACACCCATTTGCAAGATAACCCTTTTATGCTGACATTTAAAAATACCTATTCAATCACTCATTTATCCTTTTTATCACTGATCTCTAGTTTCCACTTAACACAAAACAACTGTATTCTGTTTTTCTTCATTACACGTTTCACAGCGCTAGAAACTTTGCTACATGGAACTAATGCAGAGAAGATAGCAGACATTTTATAACACGTGGTAATTTCATATCACCTTTTCGTGTCCAATTTGTTTTACATTGAACAAGCTGTTGTTGAACAATGTCAGTCAAAATATTCTATATTTCAAGATTGCTTTAACAATGTTTAACTTGTTTTAGGTCCAGAATTACATTTTATCACTTGCATCTGGCCATTTTTCAACTTATTAAAGAAAAATAATCAATTATGTAGTAATAATATATACAGCCTGAAATTCAGGTATACCGAGGAAATTTTTTAACTTTTCATGCTATTGTAAAGGAAATAATTAACGATATTATAATACAACTGTGAGGTCCAAGACATCTCTATATTAGGCGAAAATATACATGAATGTTACATGTTAACAATAGTTAGCTCTTCATTATTTCAGATAGCAAATACATGCTTTGGTTTTTGCTTTCAAATTGTTAAAAGCTTAATTAATACATCTGTACTCAATACCTGATTTTTATGTTTCATTATTGAATTCTATTTTTGTCATTGTTGTCTATAGGTACTAGCTCGTTATTTCGATTGTTTGTCTGGCATGTGGTTTTCTTTGTTTCAATCAAACAAATGTCAAAATTTAAGTATTTCCTACAATTTATCTGAAATTGTGAAAGTATATTTTATGAAGAAAATATTTTAACAATTATTTCCGCACCAGTTGAAATTTTCTGTTATCAATTTCATATTGTTTGACTCAGTGCGATGTAGAGCTTAACATATTGTATAGACACCTGGCTATTGTCGAAGACTATTTGTTGCACTCCATGTGTCGATTGGTTGCCGTCTCGTTGGTATATATATACCCAACATATTTTAAATGTAATCATTTGTTAGTTAATCATTCAAATAATCAGTCTCATACTAACAAGCTTAAAGTCTGTCATATTATTTATAGTTACTTTGTGAATATTGGTGGTTGCTAAGTTCATTTAGGTCATTTTAAGATTGATGACCAAGTCGAAAAATCAAATTCCATTATAGAGATATATTTTTCAAATTTCTGCAAGATTTTGCTCCACATCAAACAGCAGTTACATTAAGAATCAACGCACGATTTCTTCATCTTATCTGCAAAAAATTAAGTTAAGTTATGCATCTTTAAATATTAATTCTATAATCTTTTAAGCCGAACTGTTTTTGTTATCGCTTTTATTCTGATAACCCGTCATAAAGTGTTTTATTATACCGAAAAATAGAATTTGAAAAAAATTCCAAATACCCCATTTGGCTTCAAGCAATAGGTCATATTTCAGGAACAACAACCTTGATATTGCCCTCATAACCAGTCAATAAGTGTATAATATTTCACTGTTTAATTTGTCTTATACTTTTTAAAGTTTCTTGCTTTTAAAAGAAAGTTGAGGAATGGTAAAACAAATACTAGTAGCGTACCACATAGACGTATTCACTTTGTTGTTCATATAAAACAGTAACAATGCCTATATTATTACTTCTCAAGCAGTTTTTCTTCACTGCAAAGTGGCGTGATCACAAACGTATGTATGTGCGTAACAGTTTTTGCTAACACAAAACTAAAAATAAATGCATTCAAAGCATGTTATATTAAGCCAAGGCTGGTCATTTCACATGAAACAATACCATGTAAGCATCTTGCTTTCCAAAAATGCTCAAAATTGGCATGATCAATACTAGTTTCTTTTTGTTTTTTTGTTTGTTTTTTTTTCAGATAAAAATAGACGAGGTAATACTACTTTTTCAGTACTAATTCGCTGTTCAATAATCATAATTCGATTAAGCAAAAAGCAAATCCAGACAACAAATTAAAACTGAGGGAAACACATCAACTATAAGAGTAAAACAACAGAACAATAGAAACACTGAACTGCAACAAAAGCAAACGGCAGCATACATATAAACGGACTGTATGATAACAACTGCAATATTCCTGATTTGGTACAAGACATTTTAATAACAAATCGTGGGTTGAACCTGGTTTTAGTGATAGACCAATCTTAAATGGGAAGCGCTTTTTACAATCTCTGTAAACCATGTAAACGACAGTCCTAACTTAAATTATTTTATCTGTAGAATTGAATGGGACTGGTATAAACTGCGAAATTTTCAAAAAAAGCCTAGATTGTTCAATAAATCTGAAATGAATGCACTTGTTTACTGCTCAACACCATTACTTTGATTTTATACCTATCTTAAACGAATAAGGGTATATAATGCTTTATATCTTATGTTTCCTCATATTTAAAATTTTGCATAGAAAATAGCGAAATGGTCCTAAGTGCGATGTGTTTGTTCAACTACGACCGCAAATACAGAACGTTAACAATACAAACGTTACAATGGATCATCAAAATCGGACTTCGTGTGCTTTTTTGTCGTAAAAAAAAAGTCGACGATTTCTCTGTAGAATATCGGTTTTCGCTATATATAATATCTAATTGGTTTAGAGGAAAAGCTATGTGTTTTTAGTATCAAGAAGAAAGGGTTTGTCTTAATTGCACTGTGCCAGATACAACTGCGGTGACGTCAGAATCCCATAGAGTCTCTACATAAAGGGACACAATTGGTGCCTTGAGTATAACTGAGTGTATTAC